TCAATGATTTCTCATAATTTTCTTCAGACATGAGAACGGTTGCTTTGTGAACGTCAAGATTCTCCAACAACGGAATCTCAAATCTTTTGTAAAAAGCATCGCTCTATTTAATTTTGAAAAGTCGTCAAAAAAAAAAAAACCCCCTCAAGAAAGGAAACTCAAATCCAAAGGACAAATAATAAGACACAAGAGTTTACCAAAACTTGTTGATGGTTTGACATTAAATAGTGTAAGCCAGCCGCTGCCTGTAAAGCCGGACCTGCTGTGTCAAGGAAACATTCTTTGAGATCTTGACAATAATAAAATCTTTAATTAAATCATGAACGGGAGACCCACCTGAATCAAGCGCTCCCTTGCAACGGGCCATCCGTTCCAGTGCTTGTCCAAAACCAGCTGAAGCCTGCGCAAACGCTATCATTTGGTTTCGGTATATTTTTGCAGAACTCAATAATTGTTCGTAGGCTTCAAAAGATGCTCGAATATCTGCACGAGAAAGGGCAACGATTGGCTCAGATACCAGCTCGGCCGTTCGTGTTGAATGAGCTATTGAATTCGAGGTTCTTGCTGATAAAGTTGGTGAGGTCGGTGCAGAAAACTTATACATGGTCGCCCTTAAACTTTCACTTTAGTATTGCAAGACAGCGTCCCTTATTTCAGCGGCACAAAGAAAAAAAGATAATGTAATTGAATGACATCACTCTGAGTGAGGAAACTTATATATAACGTGTAGATCATGTAATTCACGTGATAAGGAACTTGTTCAAAGGAACCAGGGGTTAAATTTTACTTTGAGAATTTGTCACGTGGCCAACAATCAGTGAGAATAAAGATAATTTATATTGATCAAAAGAGTCAAACCACATTTCCTTTAGGCTTTTCTGACACCCAAAAGCCTTTCCCTAAGATCATTTACTTGTTGGAATGTCAAGAACCTGCGTCAACACCACATTACAAAACTATTTTCACGTGACAATGTTTATAATGCGTAGATTGGATTTTAATCATTCATCATAAATTAATGTAGACCCTTGGTCAGAATTCTGTGGTGCTTGTTGTCGTGATGTCGTAAAATACGTGATGTTATCATGATTAGTAATTTAATTTATCAAAAGCCGTATATGTCATGAAGTGTCACGCTTACCATTTGTGAAGAAACTTTTTTTTTTTTTAACGAACGAACGTCATCCTCAGTCACTAATATCAACAATATTCGCCCTTATCTTCCACGTAACTTTTCCCTTAAAGACCTAATTTCCTTTTAATCATTGTTTTCGTAGTAGAAAACGCTTGCGCTCATAATAAACAATGGGAGATAACAGTTTGTTACTTAAAACCGTTAAAGACATCCAATCCTCGCTTGCTGTTCTGCCGCAAATCCAAGCCAGTGTAATGAGATTGACTGATGCAATCATGTCTCTAGAAGGAAATGGACCTCTTCGACCAAGCAATGAACAAAAGTTGACTAATGGTATTTCGAGCTCGCACGGTTCGCCGGAACTTTTGCCTGTCGCGGAAGCGGTTGAAATAAATGAGAATGATCTAATAAATCACAAGTCGCAAAATGAGAAGGGAATCAATCATATAGATAAGGAAAAGAAAGATGGTTCGGTCGCTGGACCGAGTGAAAGATCAAGGAAAAAGATGTCTATAACGGAAAGAAGAAAGCTCAAGAAAGAGAAAAGGAAACAGACCGTCTCCCAAGGTCAAGGAGATTTGTTATCAAATGAGGATGTAATGGCGCAACAATCCCAGTCGAAAACTTGTGAATCACCGCAGATCCAAGAAAAATTTTTGCCGACGCGAACCACACAAAGATCGGCGAGAATGGTATTCACTGCTATCTATAGATGTACATCATCGATATCATTGATTTTTAAACTCTAATTACCATTAATTGTCATTGCTATCGCCAAGATAAATTCCGGGAGTAATAATAAAGAACGACAAGATAGGAGGTTTGGTCGGGGACAGTCGAATCAAAATTTCAACAATTATTTCCAACGAGAGCGAGAGACATTACAAAATAACTGGGATAAATCTGAACCAACTTTTGAAGGAATGAACTTGAAGCCGGAATTATTGAAAGGAATTCGTGATTTAGGGTATATACGATGTAAAGAGAAAGATTATGTTGATCTCAATAATTAAACCACTTTACTTCGATTGAATGCAGATACGATCAACCCACCCCTATTCAACAACGTGCTCTAACTGCATTATTAACTCGACATGATGCTGTAATTCAAATTCCTCGATCCGAAGAGAGAACTTTAACATATGTGATCGCCATACTCCAGCTTATTGACGCACGTGATCAATCTTGTCAGGCCATCATCCTTGTTCACAACAAAGATCTGTGTTATGCAATTCAGGACCTCATTAATGTTGTGAGCAAACATCTACAAATTTCGTGGTCCGTTTGCGTAGGTGGATACTCGGTGAGACAGGATGTCGAAAAATTACGAAACGTTGGCCAACAAATAATTCTGGGAACTCCCGGTAAATTGCATTTCGGTTATTCACCGTTTGTATCGCTGGCCAGTCTTAATTCTTATCTAATTTCACCAATCATAGGTCGATTGATCGACCTGATGATTGATCGTCGTTCATTCGACGCTTCGCGCGTCAGGATGGTGGTCGTTGAAGACTCGTGTATCATGTTCAATAGTACCTTTCGTTCTCAGGCTTTGGACATTATTCATCGTTCACCAAGTAGAGCCCAAAGAATTCTCATGACCACGGCAACAACATTTACACTTGCCGATGTCAAAAATCGATTGGCGAAGAACGCTCACATTGTTGTAAATGATGTACATATGAGTGAAGGATTACAATTATACTACAAACTCGTGGAAAAAGAGGAAGAAAAATTAAATGCTCTTTGTGAACTTTTCAAAATGTTGGAATTCGAAAAATCGATTATCTTTTGCGACAATGCCGAGAGAGTGGATTGGCTAGCTGACAAGTTAACAACTCTATTCGAACATATGAATGTATTTTCCATGGTAAGAGAACGACCACATCCTCCTAAATAATAATTGTGTTGCGCACTCACACACATCCACATACAGCATTCAATGACCAAACAATCAGAAAGGCACGATATTGTCAAATCCTTTTGGAATGTGAGCCCTGCTATTATTGTTACTACCGATAGCTTTGCAGCAGTACTTGCTTTTCAACCGGTCAAATATACCATTCACTTTGATTTACCATTCAAAAAGGAAGATTATCATGATCGGTAATGACGTTTTCCATGGTCAATCTTTTTTTTTTTTTAATGGTTGATACTTACCACCAATTCTTTTCTCTTCAGGATTTGTTGTAGTGGTGGATACGGTTTACCCGGTACTGTTGTCAACCTTCTGGTCAAAGGTCACTTGTATGATCTCGGGTCCCTAGAACGGTATTATAAAATACAAAGTCAAGAACTTCCGGTAGGCAATAAAATAAACATCTTGAAACCTTTTTTTTTTTTATACATTATAAATAATATATCGATTGATTTTCAGGGCGAACTTAAAAATTAAAGCATTTCCGATCTGGACTGTGATAAAGGCGCATGTTTACGTTGTTCGTTTAATCTACCCCACCATCTATCTGCACTACATGATATATTGTTAACCAAAAATTGTCATGAATTGGTGTGCACACATAACTTTGCTTTTCTAAATAAAATTTGCTCGAAAGATTTAAGATATATTAAAATTCAGACATTCTA